TCTTTTCTGTAAAATAAGGATATTCAGATTGTCAGCTATCAAGTAGAATCTTGAGAAAATACTCCAGGGTTCTTGGTAGATAAATAAGCTTGATGTAAGTTCCCTTGTCTTCCAAATCTCCAAATAAAGAGGGCAGCCCTTATTCTTGCCATAGTTTATAATACCCAGTGTGATCAAAAACATTTTTGTTTTCTACCTATTTACAAAATTAGATTTAATCTCAAATTTGGATGATTGAGAATATAATGTACAAGAAAGAATGTTTTATCTTTCTTTCCTCCCTCCCTCTCCTCCCCTTCTTATCTCCTCTATCTTCCCCTCTTTCTTCTTTCCTTCCTTCCCTCTCTCTTTCTCTCTCTCTCTCCCCCCTCACACAAACAATAGAGAGTGTAAATTATGTTTTTCTTATGTTGAAATGGCCTGATTTTGCCACTGTTGAACTGATAGTTTCTATGTTAGTGATTCTGGACATAATTTGTAATGATTTTACTCACACAAGACAATATGTGTGAAAGTCAGTGTTTTGCAAAGTGTTGGTTCCCAGTCTACTTATGATGGAATCACTTTGAAGCTGCTTAAAATGCACATTTCTGGACTCCATTCTACATTTACTAAGCCAGAATCTCTGAGGGTAAGGACCTAGGGAATCTTTGTTTTAACACCTTGACTGCCATATGAGTTGTATTTAACTCAGGCTAGTTTAGAGTTCGGGACCATGTGAAGCAAAACCCTGCAGTTGGTTCATGAAAATCTTACTTGTTGATGTTCTTATTGTTACAATTAATATTGACAATTTAATTCTAAAAATGTGAATTGTATTGCATATAACTCACACAGAGAAAACAATAAAAAAAAAATAGAAAGGATTGTTTGGTTTTAATAAAACACTGTAGCCCCAGGGAAAATTTGTTTTTCCTAGTATGGCAGTCGATGTGTTAAAAAGCCCACTGGTGATTTTGAAACTTTAAGTGCCTCTGAATCAGTATTTTAGGGTTTTAGGATAGTTGACTCTTGAGGTTCCTCTCAATCCCCTTTTTTTCCTGTTTTAGATCTGGTTTGACCTTTGCCAGGTTGTTTGGGAGAACAGAGAGTTCTTCAGAATGGACCTTGACCCATTCACCTAAAGTGTTCTGCTCTGTTAAGTTCTGAGTTTCTGTTTTAATAACAGTCCTATTTCTGTATTTACCTGTCTTACTGAGTATTGAACGTTTATAAAATGTACCATAGTTTACCTTTCCTCTTCTCTGGCTTATACAGCCTACCATCTATGTGGTATGGGAATTATCCCCTGAAGATAATTCAGGATACATATTCAGCTACTCAAAATTTAATATGAAAGGGGAATAGACAGGATAATTTTGTGTTTAAATACATATCTACACCCTTACATAAATATATGTTTGAAAGCAAAAATTCACCTCTGTTTTACAAATTTTGGATTTATGTAAAATTTGTGATGTTTCTTCTCTTAGGCTTTGTGGAAACCTAGGAATGTAGGGATTGCCCACTTAAAGCTGATAAATACTACCCAGGTATCTCTGAAAAACCTTGTCTCTCAATGAGACTTTACTTCTGTCTTCTCACCAAGGACCCAGGTGCCTCTGGTTTTCATTCAAGTTATTTTCAGAATCTGTGCCACTAAGAAGTCCACTGAAGGTCTTTTGCTTTCAAGGGCCACATTCTTAAATATGGAAGGACAAATCAGCCTTTTGATTCAGAGGGTAGGGAACGGGGCATGTATTTTGTGCCTGATACTGTTCTAGGCACTTTATGTCAGTTAACAATCCTGTAAGTGTATCCCCAGTTAGAGAAGAAGTAGAAGATGAGGGATTAAGATTCTTGCCCAAGATTATATAGCTTGCCAGAAATGGAACAAGGATTTAATAATGGGATTTGAACCCATTTCTGTCAGGCTCCCATGGATATGTTTTTCTGTACTTCGGGGAAGAGAGGGTGGCAGCAATGTCTTTTATTTCCAGGTGGCAGAAGGGAAGAACCCAATAGAGTAACTGACTCAAGGTCTGACTCTAGGTTACAAAGAGAGAGTTCAAGATATGTAGAAGGCCGGGCGCGGTGGCTCACGCCTGTAATCCTAGCACTCTGGAGGCCGAGGTGGGAGGATCGCTCAAGGTCAGGAGTTCGGAACCAGCCTGAGCAAGAGCGAGACCCTGTCTCTACTAAGAATAGAAAGAAATTAATTGGCCAACTAAAAATATATAGAAAAAATTAGCCGGGCATGGTGGCACATGCCTGTAGTCCCAGCTACTCGGGAGGCTGAGGCAGAAGGATTGCTGAGCCCAGGAGTTTGAGAGTTTGCTGTGAGCTAGGCTGATGCCACAGCACTCTAGCCAGGGCAACAGAGTGAGACTCTGTCTCAAAAAAAAAAAAAAAAAAAGATATGCAGAGCTCCATGTTCTTCTAATCTCTTTTCCTAATCCCTGCTTTGTCTGCATGTTTCTCTCTTTAAAAAAAAAAATTCATATAATAAAACTTCCAGTTAGGGAATGTGGCAGAAATATTTGTCAAAACAGTAGTGGTACCTCTCAAAGAAGAGCACTCTCAACAAATGTGTTATATAAAAGCCTTTTTTGTCAGAGGACATGAGTAGAACTAGTCTTAAGGCTCCATAACACCCACTGGCATTTGCAGGGTTTTAAGCATCCTTGAGCAGAACTGCTGCTTATTGAGCATGTAGAGTTTCTGAAGACTGTGTTAGGGAGATGACTTGGATTGAGTACCAGAGGCCTAATTGCAGGGCACTCTTTTTCTTTTAACATTTTATTGTAGAAATTTTCAAATACATAAAGAAGTTGAACGAATAGTCGGTCCCCGCGTACCACTTATGCAGCTTCACCAGCCTTCAACTTTCTGCCATTCATGTTCTGTCTATCTCACATGCTTTTTTTCCTCAGGAGTTTTTAAAAGTAATTTCCAGATACATCATTTCACAGAGTATTCATGAAAGAGAAAATGGCTTGAGAGCCAAGGATAATGAAGCTTTAAAAAAAATTTTTTTTAGCTGTTTATTAAATGCCTAATTATGTACCAAGTACTATGTTAAATACTTTCTATTTACTGCTCACAAAATGCTATGGTGTAGGTGGTGTAGGTGCTATTATAATATTATTTCCCATTTTACAGATGAGGAAACTAAGGCTCCTGGGATTAAGTAATTGGCCTGAGTTTAAGTAACTTGCCCAGGTTGCACAGTTAGGAACTAATCGGGCCGGGATTCAAGCCCACAGTAGCCTGGGCTTTTATTTTATTTTATTTTATTTTTTTGAGACAGAGTCTCGCTTTGTTGCCTAGGCTAGAGTGAGTGCCGTGGCATCAGTCTAGCTCACAGCAACCTTAAACTCCTGGGCTCAAGCAATCCTCCTCCTGCCTCAGCCTCCCGAGTAGCTGGGACTACAGGCATGTGCCACCATGCCCGGCTAATTTTTTCTATATATGTTAGTTGGCCAATTAATTTCTTTCTATTTATAGTAGAGACGGGGTCTCGCTCTTGCTCAGGCTGGTTTTGAACTCCTGACCTTGAGCAATCCGCCCGCCTCGGCCTCCCAAGAGCTAGGATTACAGAGGTGCTGTGCTTTTTATCTTCTCTCTTGCACTCTGCGCACATCACCAGTGTGCCCTGTTCTTCCCATGTGACATGCAATTGGAAGCTCAGGCTATTTGCTTGTTTCCCAGGTAGTCCCTGAGAGGAAACCAGGTCAGAGTCCATGCATCTTCATTCCCCCCCACCCCTGCCCTGTCTTCCTTCCCCTGTTTCTCTTTTACTTTTACTCTCTTTCCACTCATCTTCTTTTACTCTCTCTCCTCTCAACTCAAAATAGTGAGTTGAATGAAAGAGAAGCAACCTTCACTGGAGAGAAGGGACAAAGAGCTGGGTTAGTTCAGCAGTTCAGAGACATCTCTGGATTAATCTTATAATGTGCCTGTGAGAGTCATGTAATATAATATGTGCTGCTTGATTTTGGTCCAGATGCTTCTTTATTTTTGGAGACAGAATCTCACTTTGTTGTCCAGGCTAGAGTGCCGTGGCGTCAGCCTAGCTCACAGCAACCTCAAACTCCTAGGCTCAAGTGATCCTCCTGCCTCAGCCTCCCAAGTAGCTGGGACTACAGGCATGTGCCACCATGCCCGGCTAATTTTTTTCATATATATTTTTTTAGTTGGCCAATTAATTTCTTTCTATTTTTAGTAGAGATGGGGGTCTCACTGTTGCTCAGGCTGGTCTCGAATTCCTGACCTTGAGCGATCCTCCCGCATCAGCCTCCCAGAGTGTTAGGATTACAGGCATGAGCCACCGCGCCCAGCCGGTCCAGATGCTTCTTAAGGAGGCATATATACTGGAGACCCAGGGAACAGTGGGGCTGATTTGGTGACTAGTTGGTGATAGTGAAAGGAGCAGAGGCCTAGAAATTAAACCTGGGTTCTAATCCTGGTTGTGCTACTTATTATTACCTGTGACCTCAGTTTAGTCTCATCTTATTCTGAGTTTCTATAAAATGACTAGGTTTTAAAGTCTCTTTCAGTTTCAGTATTTTATGATTGTGAGATTATCACTGAGATCGTTGTAACTTTTGACTGGAGAGGAGATAGCGGGAAATATCAACGTCCTTTCTTAATCATAGAGGATAGCTTAGATTCCCATCCCTTAGGTACAAGGAAAATAGAGGATAGACTAAATAGCATTGTGAATTCCCTTCTAGCCCTGTGAGTCCTGGTTATAATGTTTCTTCTGGTTTTAATTTGTGTATCTTTTTTAAGTAGAGAAAAGAGGGGTTGGAAGTGTGAAGGCGAAAGTTGGAAGTAGGATAAAGGATTGTCTCAGAGTTGGGACCCCACTTAGGGGTGGGTGTGAGACCAAAGGCCAGGTCTTCAGGTTGTTGGGTGAGAATATTCTCTTTGTTCCTTCTCTTGTGCCGTCTGAGCAGCTCTTCATTGTGTTTAGTTCCGTAGTAAAATAGTACTGTTTCCCTTTCCTTTTGTCCCAGTACCTCAACATGCTAAGGACTTGTGAGGGCTACAATGAAATCATCTTCCCCCACTGTGCCTGTGACTCCAGGAGAAAGGGGCACGTCATCACAGCCATCAGCATCACGCACTTTAAACTCCACGCCTGCACCGAGGAGGGACAGCTGGAGGTGAGAATTCAGCATGGGGCTTGGGCTGGAAGCACTGGGGATACTTTGATACTCGCTTGCTATGTTTTAATTCCTTTTGAGGGGAAAATGAAATCAAAATTGTGTGTTGGCTATGGCAGATATATGGGCACTGGATGCACACTGATTCTCAGCTTCTCTGGCTACTTCCACTGACCTTTGTTCTTTTGTCACAGTCCTTTCCCTGAAGCGATACAGATATCTCCATTCATTTCTTTTTTGTGGCCTGGTACAGACTCCTCTTACCTCAGCTCCCCAGCGCTCTGAAACTCAGACTGTAGACCTTACTCTCTTGTTCTTGGTTGTGCAGAACCAGGTAATAGCATTCGAATGGGATGAGATGCAGCGGTGGGACACTGATGAAGAAGGGATGGCCTTCTGTTTTGAATATGCACGAGGAGAAAAGAAGCCCCGATGGGTTAAAATCTTCACACCATATGTGAGTGGGGGATGGGGACGCATGCTCGGGGAAGGTAGATTGGGCTGAAAGTTGTCTTTAAGCTAAATGCATACGTGGCAAGAGGTGCAGAGATCCATCTGAACCTGTTTGAATCATAGAGCCCCAGGTTCATCCTGCCTTTCGTTTACGCCTGATTAGGATTGGCAATTTCATCCTGCTTGACTCATAGTTACCACTAGAAGGAGCTAGAGGACAGGAGATGAGCCAGGCCTGAATTTGTGGCACTTGCCAGGGTTTTTCTCTAGACTGAGTTTGGAAGATGGGGTGGCTGGGGGCAGGAGTTCAAAGGTATGGCTCTGTGGTGCCTGGTCTTAGGAAGTCAGTGAGTGTTGCCACTTTTTTTTCAGTTCAATTACATGCATGAGTGCTTCGAGAGGGTGTTCTGCGAGCTCAAGTGGAGAAAAGAGGTAATTCTAAGCAATTCTTGAATGGACTTTTTAATCTTTTTTGTTTATTGAAAATTTATAGGCCCATGGCCAAATACCTGGGACCCTCACCTCCATCTCTGTCTTTCTAGGAATATTAGTTAGAGACTGATTATCTCATGTGAGCCAGGACATTCTTCCAGCGAGGTTGGCCTCTGGATGGTGAATGGGCCGTGCAAAAAAGCCCTGCTTCTCCCCTTGCTTAGAGGGTGGACATTGGCTACAGGCTCTTCCATCTCTCATGACTTCATGGACCCTCCTCTGCCAGTTTTAAAAATCAAATCACCTTCCATGTTGTTCCTGACCCAGAAGGGCAGCTGTCCTCAGTTCTAGTCATCTGACTGGATGAGTCACAACAGAGTCTTTCTAGGCTAACCAAGCATGTGTATGTGGAGGAAGGTTTTGCTACTGCTTTACTCTGCTGTGTGTATGTGCCAGTGCTGGAGCACAATCTGGAAGATTCTGAATAATTAGCTGTTTATTCTCGAAGACAATCTTTCAGAAGATGAGGCGGTCAGGTCAGGAACATGAAAATTTATGTTCTCAGTGTAGTAGGAGGGATGTTGGCTCTGGGAATTTTATCTGGGTTTTCTCCTGGCTTTTTTTCTCTGTGTAATTTTGGGTAAACCAGCCTCCCTGGACCCCAGTTTTCTCTTCTGTAAAACAGGAAGACTGAACCAGATAATTAGTATCCAAGGTCCCTTCCAGCTCTAAAAGGCTGTGATTCTAGATGGTAAGTTAAGTCAGGGGACAAGGCCTCTCGGATTGAGTCATCCAGCCTCCAGTCATACCTGCTTAGTTTCTTTTTGAGGAGTTGTTTCCAGCTGGTAGGAGATGTGGCTTCCCAATAACTCTTTTCTTTTTTTCCTTTCAGAACATATTCCAGATGGCGAGGTCACAGCAGAGGGATGTGGCCACCTAGCCTTTCCTTATCCCTTTCCCTTTCCCTTCTCTTCGCCCTCATCCCCTTACCCCCTTCATCTCCCATGTCAGACAGAGTAATCATTAACACAAAAGAAGAGAAAAAGGAAAAAAGTCATTATGTCCAAAAGCCCTAAACTAAATCTTATTAATAACCGCCCCTGAATTTCATGTCTCTGGAATTGAGCTGGTAGAGAACAGATTGGTCAGCACCAGAAGTCAACTAAGTTAAGACAGGAAAGAAATAAGCCCAACCAACTTGCCAAAGGTATCTTTGTTCTTTCACCTGGGCCTCATACCAACAGACTCTCCTTGTACTATATTTTTAAAACTGGAACTATGAACTTCATCCATTTGCACTGTTCGGACATATATATGTATGTATGTAAAAAATTATATATATACAAATTAGCTGCACGTATATACATATATATATTTCTTTTTAAATTTCATAATGATGGCAGTACCTTTTTTAGCTTGTGTTTTTACACACCTTTCATTAGAATTCATGACCTCTCTCTCTTGCTCTCTTTATTTTGAAACAAACTTTAAAAAGGAAAAAAAAAAATTTTATAGGGAAAATACCTCTCCTCATGAAGGACTCGAAAAGTTTACAACCTGCTTGGGTTTTTCCCCCCTTTTTTGTATTGAGTACAGATTCTGGCTCATGGGTTGCCATAGAGTCTGAGGAGCAAGAAGTATAGTTTCTTTATCATCCAACAGGGTGCTGGGGAGGAGAAAGAGGTGTGTTTCTCGAGGTTCTCGAGGTTTCTCGAGGTAGCAAGGCTGCGGTTCTGCACGGAGAGCCTAAAGATTTGGTGTGGTCTCTTGATTCCAAGATAATTTTTCTGGTCTGTCTCTGTCTCCTACGCATGGCTTTCTGGCCACATTCTGCATCTCCTTCCTGCTTCCCTAGGCCCTTGTATGCTTTCCCTCAATTGGCCCTGGTGGAGTTGAGGTTGGACTCAGGAGGTTGATGCCACAGGAACCTGAAACACTTCATGGTAGTAATTTCTCATTTCCCTGCCTTTTCTGCAGCAGGGATGGTACTAGGGACCAGAGATAAAGCTGATACCTTAGGCACAAAAGTTGGACTTACGTAGGGGAAAGAAAGAGCAATGCCCTGTGTACATAAGGTTTTACCTTCTCCATTCCTGACCCATAACCACCCATAACTGTTACATTCTCTGCACCTGCCTCAGACAGCAGTGTTGGGGGGGGATCTGATAATATCTTCAAGGGTTTGGGGAAACTTGGAATGGGTCAGTGGTCTGTGCCAACCAAACCATAGCCCCATCCAAGCCAGCTGAGGACCGAGGAAGGAGTAGTAGGAATATGGTTGATTTAGGTTGATCTCCAACTTTTAATTAAAAGACTGAAGGAAAACCTTTTTGTCCCTCACAGAGCGCTTCATCTGACCTTGCAGTTAGACCCTTTGAGACCTAAGAGCTGCGTCCCAGGATCAGAGGCCAGGGCTGGCTGGGGTAGCTCCTGGGCTCTGCAGAGAGTGCACAGGAGCACCACGTCAGGCTCAGGTGCAACTGAAACACATCTTTGAGCCTTTTCTTTTTCCCTTCTTCACCTTCTAAACAAAAACTTCCGTAGGGAGGGATCTTTTGCTTTGTTTAACAGGGTGGTGTTCATAATTGGTTGTAGTCAACCCCCCCCTGAGCAGTGTTGGGGCAGTTCAGTTTCTTTTTTGTAACTTGTTTTTGCAGATCATTGTGAAGCCACTTTTCTTTCTTTCTCACTCTGTTATCCTGGCAGCCGCTTGCCCCCCAGGAAGGTGTGGAATCATGTAAGACATCCTGTCCTCCCTCCCCGTCTCCAAACCCAGGTGGCATCACAGAGTGTAACACATAAGAATGCTCAATGTTTAAAGTTGCAGAAAGTGATCCCTAATTTGAAGGCTTTGACACAGGATTAACTCCTTTTTTGGGGGGAGGGGGTTTAAGTGAATTAAATAATGAGCCAAAGGACTCTGAAAAGAAGATACATTGATTGCCCACTTTAAGATGCTAAAGAAGATTTTGGCGCCAACTTAGCTCAAACTGTAAAAATAGCAATTTGCCCCTGTTCCCTGATAGTGGGAAAGGAATAAACAAATCTGGGAGTCCACACGACAGCCCAAATGCTGACCTCCAGATATGAGACATAGGGATTTGGAGGTCCCTTAGAGTGGGTAGATAGTGCTGTGTTCCTTTTCTGGCATAGCATTCACTTGGTGCTTTGGAGATTAGGTGAGGGGCCCCATAGGTAGTTGGCCTGTTGGCAGAATCTGTTATGGAAGGGCCCCTACCTGAGGCTGTCCCATAACAAAGCACCCAGCTGCACCAAGGAGATGGGAAGGAGGGCGACCCTAAAGGACAGCGCCTTCTCCTCTTCTACCCACAACAGTCCTCCAGTGATGGAGGCAGAGGTCACTGTGGCTGTGGAGGTCCATAGGATCAAAGCCCTTCTTTGCATGAAGCAGTGTTAGGTGTGACTTTTCTCTCCCCTCTGCCCCCTTCCTCTACACTTCCTTTCTCTAATCCCTACTACTACTTTAGTCCTGGCTTCTGCCCAGGGAGGCTTTTACCCAGTCTTCTTTTGCAATTTGTCTCTGGGAAAGGGAGGCTCCCCCTACCCTCAGCTTCGCCCCAGCAAAGCCAGCAGGATCTTCCTGGTCTCCCATTGACCTCCCTCCACATCTGGTTTCTATCCTCTGGGACAAAAGCTCAGAGCTTTTTATGGATCAGGAGAAAATGCAGGCCCTGAGAAATCTGCCCCTGTGGAAAGGTTCCCTTGGGCCATGCTTTGGGCTCTCTGCTTTTCATATTTTTATTCTATTCTCCATTTTTCTTCCCTCCCCTTGCCCTAGGCCTAAGCACAGGTACAGATATGTATGTGCTCAGGGCAGCTCCTAGGCCTGGACAGAGCTCTCAGGGAGGAATTAGATAAATATTCCAACATCCTCATGCCTGGCCCATTTAGTTTCATCCTTTAGTTACCCAGGCCAGTAGCTTTGAGTTATCCCCTCTTATAGCTCCAAACCCAATGCTGGGACTGCCCACAAAATAGGGCACTGACAGGAGGTGACACCTCTCTCTCTCTCCTCAGAATTTGCCACCTTATGGGTTGGGCTCATAGGAGGCAGTGTTCTAAAAGGGGACTGTATCCTAGTTGACCTGAAGTCTCCAGACCTGCATGGACTATTGTACCCTCCCTTCTCTCCATCATGCTGTCTGGCTGGATGGATTCAGCAGTAGCAACTGTTTGGTTTGTTGGACTCCAACATTCTGCTATTTCTTCACCAGCTTCATTGTGTTACGTTAACTTCCCTTTGGAGGGAGGATGACGTGGTTGAATACTCAGAGAGGGAGGGAGAGTAGAGGCAGTGGGTTGCTTCGTTAGCTCCCCATCTGCCAGGTCCACCTCTTGTCTTCCTCTTCCCCTAAACCTGAGCACATCATGCCAGGCCTTATCCATACCAGGACAGCATTGGCTCACTCCTCAGCTATAACGTAGGGCGTCCGGGAAGCTTAGGGCTCTGGGAAGGAACAGAATCAAAGCGGGGAGTGATATGGGGTGGGGGCACTTGGCCAACTGCTCAACTTGGACACCAGTTTTATATCATGCCCCTCTTTTAAGCCAGTGAGCTGGGCTTCAGTTTTTCCCAGGCCATGCACACTTTTAATTTATTTGAGAGAAACTCTAATTGTATTTTCACTGCAGTATCTTGTATTTTTTATTTGTGATTTAAGAAATGTGAAGAGAAAATACACAGACACATAATGGCTAACAGTGTTTCTTTCATTCCTTGTTCTAGAGCTAACCACTCTAAAATTGTTTGGTAATGTCACTTAGTGTAATTAATTGTAACATATTCTTTTAAATAAATTGATTTATTGATGAAACACTTCTTTGGTTTCCTAGACTACAAATCCTTTGGGTTGTGTGGGAAGAAGTGAAGAGGGACCTTTGAGATTTGAGTTAGAATGGGCAGTCTGAAAATGAGACGGAACATCTAACCAGTTTTCCCAAGTAACTAATGGGGCCGTTTTTTGAGGGCAGTGGATGGAGAAGGTTGGGAAAAGGAGAAGCCAGGGAGGCCCCTGGTCTGCAGTTGTGTTCCCAGTGGCTCCTTTGAAAATTCCTTCTTCTCCCTCAGCTCTCAGAATTGATTGTGCTCACCCATCCTGTGTGCCAGCCTGCACGAAATCCTGTTAAGATTCACAGGACTCCTCTCCCAGCCTTACACAGACAGAGCCTGGCAGGGCCCTTGGGACAGATGATAGCAATATCCCCTCCCTTCCCCCCCATCAGCAAGATGAACATACTTTTTCATTTTTCAAGTAACTCAGGACACATTTCTCTCTGGGATCTGAACTGAAAGGAACATATTACCCCCAGTGAGTGCCCAGCACAATACTAGGCACCCTGGGTGGTTATATCCCTTCCTCTTCCCATACCTCTGAGAACAAGGGTGGTCCTACATGCCTTTTGCCTTTACAGAGAAACCTCAAGTGCTAGGGCCTACTTGTCTCATCTTAAGAGTACTTGTTCCTCTCTGTGCAGTAGTTTATGGGCTGAATCTGCTTGGGAAAGCTCATCATTTGCATTGCATGATGCATTTTTATCATTTTTCTAAACTTTCATTTTCTATTAGCTTTATAACTCCTATCCACTTACTTTTGTTCTTTAACTGATGATCATAAGAGCAAGGACCATTTTGACATTTTGTTTGGCAGTTTAGGGAGAGACATTGTTTAGGGTTCATTTACCCATTAGCATCTAATATTTGGAATCTGATAAATATTATTATGCTAATAGAGAAAATGATCTTTCACAAGGAAATAACCCATACAGAAGTTAAAGGTGGGATTCTAGAATTAGAATTACAGAAATTAAAGTCCACAAACATTTATTAGATATCTACTGTGTGTGGGGGGGCATTTTGCTAGATACCGCAACAGACACAAAAGCACAGAAAGAAACATTTCTCACTGAGGAATGAGACACAAATGACACACAGCAGTGGAAGGTTTAAGTGCCATAAGGTTTCCAAAGAAGCCTTTAAACTAAAAAAAAAAAAAAAAGTGCCATAAGGACTAGAAAAGGAGGGAGAAAGACTTCATGAACAAAGTAGTGTTTAAGGTGAACTGTTTGGCATGGGCAGGATTTCAACAAGAAGGCATTCAACAAACATTTATCGAGCCATTTATGTGCTAGACACTGTAGTAATTGGGAATGAAAAGACATGAGAAGAAAAAGGATCAAACTTGTACAGAGAACAGTGAGTAGTCCCAGTTGGGTATGTAGGAAGGAAGTGGAAGGCGAGGCTTTGAAGAGCCTTGAATGCCGTGCCAAGTTGCTTTCTATGAAAGAAGCAGCAGCAGCAGAGAAGTTTTGTTGTTTTTTTTTATCAGCTGCAGTTTAGAAAGATTAAGGTTTCAGAATATAGACAGAAGGATCAATTAGGAAACTGCTACGATCATTCAGTTAATAAATAGAGGCAGTGATAATTTGAAAGGAGGGAAACCGTTATGAGAAAATTTATAGAAGTAAAATCTTGGCCGGGTGCAGTGGCTCATGCCTGTAATCCTAGCACTCTGGGAGGCTGAGGCAGGTGGATTGCTCAAGGTCAGGAGTTCAAAACCAGCCTGAGCAAGAGTCAGACCCACATCTCTACTATAATAGAAAGAAATTAATTGGCCAATATAGAATATATATATAGAAAAAAATTAGCCGGGCATGGTGGCGCATGCCTGTAGTCCCAGCTAACTGGGTAAGTTAATTAACCTGCCTCGGGAGGCCGAGGCAGAAGGATTGCTTGAGCCCAGGAGTTTGAGGTTGCTGTGAGCTAGGCTGACGGCACTCACTTTAGCCTGGGCAACAAAGCGAGACTCTGTCTCAAAAAAACAAGAAGTAAAATCTTTCATGATTTAATGACATATTGAATTTATGTGAGAGGAGTAAAAGACTCCCAGGGTTTCATGTCTGTGTAACTAGAAAACAGAAATATGTAAGAGTCGAGACTTTTGGGGAGAGTATGTTTTAGCTTTGGACCTGTTATGATTTAGACACAGGTGGGAAATCCAGTAAAATGGTGAGCAGTGATTTCTTTATTATTTACTAAGGAGTTTCTAAGGCTCTGGGCACTGTTTAGGGTGAGGGGATACAGTGCTGAAAGAGGCAGAAAAGGTATTCAGTGAGTATCAGTGAATTGCCTTTTAAAAGATCACCCTGGCTTCTCTGGAGAACAGCTTGTAGGAGAGCAGGAGGAGAAACACGGTGACAGATGAGGAGGATACTGCAGGCCTCTGGCTTTGAGTGATGTGGACAATGCTGATAGCAGCAGAGGGAGAGATGTCAGTAGATCAGCCATATACTTTGGAGGTAGACCCGGTAGGGCTCTTTGCATTTGGATTGGAGAGGAGATTTGAGAGAAAGGGTGTAATGAAAGTTTTGGCTTGAGTGTGTACTGATGACTAAAGATGGAGGGTGAAAAGGTAATACCAAAGTTGAGGAGAAAAGTTAGGACAGAAACACATAGCTTGGCCTTGCTTTGATCGAGTAAATGAGAAGATGCAGTATATTGGTGGGAAATCCTGTTTGTGGGAAACGAGAGGAAGCTGGCTGCTCATAAAATAAAATGAAGAGAAGGGCCGGAGAATATGGATCTTATAAGAAGCAGGAGCTTGGGGCTGGGCTATTCAAGTTCTCAGATTTGGAGAAGAGAATGAAGCTTGGCCATGAGTGGGAATTCCTTCAGTAACAAATGCTAGAAGCCAAGGCTGTGAAAGACTTTGGAATTTTAGCAGGAGAATTAAAAGACAGAGGAAACCCCGAAAGTCAGGGGGCCAGCAGGGTCCAGCCTCAAAGGAAATAGAGACACCTTGCATCATGTTTATACATTTCAAAGCTTTAAAAATCTACAATGGGTGGTGGGAACACATTGAAGGAATTATTCAGGACCATTTTTTTCCCTACCATATTCTCGTCACCTTAGTCTCCCTAACTGAGGATATTTTTCTAAATGTCTGTTTTCATTTCTACAACTGAAAGGCTTCCCCTAGTCCCTGCCATTAACATGTCAGCTCCATTCTTCTGCCTCAAGAAGTTATTTTCCTTCTCTTCTCTTTATGCTGCCATTAACATCTGAACATAACTTGATTATTTTAGAAGAAGAAACAGACAATAAAAGTAGTCACTGATGATACAGGAGGGGCTGCCACACTGAGGTTCTGCCTGAGATCTGGGAAGATGCCGGGAAGGAGATGGCTTCGCCAGAGAGAACTCACAAGTCAGTGAATCACTCTGAGAGATGCCCTTTGGTCTAAAACCCACCTTCCATCTTTCTGTCCTGACTCAGAAACTGTTCTGAAGTTGAGACAGCTCAAGGGAAATTTCATAAATATTAAACACCGGCTCCTGTTGTTCCCCTTCTTACACACTCTTCTTCCCATCTCTGAGCACACCCACGCACACCTACAGCTCCACTCTATTGAGATTGCAGATGCTGTCTACTTGGCTAAGAATACTGACTGGATTCTCCTTCTGGGTAAGGTCCCATTCCTGATTTCTACGAATCCAAGAGACACTTTTCCCCTGAAATGATGTCTACAGTTATGTCTCCAAAGCACTTCACATTTTGCTTCTCTTTTTAACTATTCTTAGCTCGAGACCGTTTAAGTCTCGAGGAGTATGGGGTGGAGGTGGAGGATGAGTTGTGGGTATTTACACAGAACTCTCTCCTGAAGCCAGATCAGAGCCAGAAGGGGAGCTAGTTTATAAGAAGGAACTTAGTGAGGGAGGGGCAGCAGCCTAGAAGCAAATGGCCAGTGTGCCACGAAGTCCAACACTGCATCCGTGTGACCCTTCTGAGCCTGCCCGATGCTGTTCACAGAGAAGAACCTAGGAGCTGGAGGGGTCTTAGGGCTCATGGAGTCCACCTTCTACCTGACGGGGTCACCGCCACACTTCTTAGGATCTTTGTCTCAAGTCAGAGAACAGGTGAGAAGACAGCCAATGGACTTTGGCGTCTGACAAACTGGGTTCAGCTCCTACAGCTGTCCCTTCCTGGCTTTGTGACTCTGGGTAAGTTAATTAACCTTTAAACCTCCTTTCCGTCTGCAAAATTATATCCTGCCTCACAGGGTTGTTGGGAGGTTAAGTGAGGAGATGCACAATCAGGGCCTAGAACCCAGTCACACAGAGCAGTGGTTAATAAATGGTGGTGTTACAAACAGCTTCCAGTATCCCCACTGGCCTCGGTGGGGAAACAGAGGTCTGGAAGGTGAGACTGTAAGTCCTCAGCCTTCAGAGGGACAGGGCTGGATACAGGGAGGGGCCTGCTTACCTCCTCTCTTCTCCATATGCTCAGCTCTGCAGAACATTCCAGAATTAAGCCCCAAAGATGGGCTGAAGAATAGGATCATGAAGCAAGGCCTGGACTCTGCTCAAAAGCAAGGGCCAGGCCTTCCCTGATACCGTTTTCGTTCGCAAATCTCATTCTTTTTACCTCCCTCCCTCTCCGCAACGTGGGTAGGGAACAATCCCCTACCCTCAACCTTTCAAGACTCTTATGTAATGCTTTTAAACTTTTTTCTTTATTTAGACAGAAAAGACCAACTCTTTAAAAGTAAAATGCAATAAATAAATAAGTTAAGCATAGAGAACTGTCTGAAACTGACTCCCCAGTCTCCCCTTACCATGCCCACCCCCACCCCATTTTCTTTTCCCTAAAACCTCTTCCTAAAGAAAATGATCAGGTAATAAACCCCTTTAGCCCTCCCCGCACCCCTCCTCCCAAATACCCAATTACCCCCCAAAGCAAAGGGAGAACTCAAGAGAGAGAGAAAAAATCCAAGGGCAACATTGTCTAAACTCCCAGAAAGAGAGATGGCAGCGTCCGGG